TCAAATTTGAGTGTTAACCCCTCATTTTTAGTGTTTCTTCGAAATTTTTCAGTGTCTGTTTCCATAAGGACGAGGCCCGGAACATCACAATTTCACCGTTGAGTAGAAAAAGACACAGATTGGCCGCAACCTACGTCCCTCTCTCTCATTTTCCTCGACCAACATATCCTATACCACTACACGGATCGCGCAGTCCATTCTCTATGTCTTTGGTTCTTACATTCCGACTTGGATCAAACTTTGGGTGTAAACTAGACCTATGTCTTTGGCTGAACATGACCATTGTGTAAACCCCGATGTGCACGATGTTAGCACAATAGAAGAACAGGAAATAGATATTAAGATTTCAACTTATCAGAAACCGATTAAATCGGAATACACGGTTTCCGATAGATTGAAATCTTAATATCTAATTCTTGTTCCTGTATTGTGCGCAGACCCTTAAATATCAGTTCGAGATCTCGGACAGAGAAAAAATTAACAAATCAAATTTGAACAATTTAGGGCCACTTTCACCATCGTCGGTTTATTTATCCAACCTAGTAACTGTAATAAAATAGAGAGAGATAGAACTATTTCTATCTCTTTCTATTTCATTGCAGTTACTAGACTGGTTAAGGGGCTCCGCACAATAAAAGGAACAAAGAACAGAGAATAAGAATTTCAACCTATCAGAAATCATGTATTGTGGAATACACAGTTTTTGATAGGTTGAAATTCTTATTCTCCATTCACTGTTCCCTGTTCCTTTTATTGTGCGGAGTCCCTTAGTTAACTGAGCTTGGTGAAAGTGATCCTTACAATAGGTGTTTTAAGTTTGAAGCCGTAAGAAATTAACCAACTACAGTCGAATGCGAGGGAAATAAGTGATTATGATTCGTCCATTCCTTACGGCTTAAGGGGACGCTGGAGTGACGGTCGAACTTAATCAAGGTCGATAGTACAGACTTTTTTAAATTCCAAATTCGATAATAGTGACATCTTTCATTCATTTCTTATACTTATTATATATCATTGTGTCTCGCTCAAACGTATTCATCTGTCCCTATCTAACATATTGTAACGCCATCTCTTAGAGAGAGATCAACTAAAATACTGCTCGGTTTCATGGCTTCACGTAAATTTCACTCGTAGTATACGAATTAAATTTTCGGCGACTCTTTTCTCTTATACTAAAGCCCCTACCTCGTTTCTAAAAGCATAGGATTGTTCTTTGAAGTTTTCTGTAGGCTGCTGGCTACTTATTTTAAACGGTAAAATCTGAAACTCTTATATGCAGCACATCCCTAACGGCACACTTTATTCGAAGGACGTTCTGGCGAACATTCTTAGGACATAAGGATATCCTGAATATTCTTTGGAACGTCCCTTGGGGTCTGTGCTATTAGGGGTATTGTGACGTGTCGACTACAGAAGCCGATAACAAAACTGTAAGTCTTAAATTTTCTTTCGTTTTACGTATTCAATTGTAGTTGGTGAATTGCGTTGTTATCGATACTTTAATTGTGGAGGAGGACTTTTCAATTCATAAACACAATTAAGAGAAAAGAATCTTTAATAATTAATGGTAAAACAAGACACACTCCAGCATCCCCTTAAGGCTTAAAAATCTATTGTAGATTCGGGGTAATTGGTCAATTTCTTACGGTTTAAGGTTTAAAACACCTATTGTAGATCCGGACTAATAGCCGATTGTATTATTAAAAATAAATTTCATTAAAGTATTAAAATATTAAAATATAAAAAATGAAAAAGATTAAGAACAACTTGTTGAAATCGATCCTACTAAAGTGAAAATAATGTAATGTAAGATGTATATATATAATGGAAAAGGTAAAGTTGCTAATTTATATTTGCGACCAGATCAATCAAAAAATCATACCTTTTAGATGTAAATTAAAAATATCAACCCACATAAGAATCAGGACGCTCGTACGGTTTACAAGAGATCCGGATTCAGGTCCCGGCCGAGGTAATATTTTTCGCAATAAATTTATTAACAGTTTTTATATATTAACATCTTTATAATATATGATGCTTGATGGTAGCATCAAATTATTAAATTGCTTGTCAATTCAATTCGCGATATTACTAGAGTAGATTTAATTGCGTTTATTTAGTCCGGAAAAACAATTCGGCGCGCAGTTAGAAAAAGACTACAATATGGTACATATGCA